AGAACAAGAATATTTATGATGGAAGTTTCATCATATTATGTAATAAACTCTCTGAACATTAACCAGGTTCTGATGCCACGTCCACACTACGCCAGAGAAATTTGAAAACACAACTTTACTTCTACGGTTAGGCCTTCCGTCCACACTAATCCGTCACGGCGAAAATGGAACTTTTCGAAAATCGCTCTTCAAACCGGAGGAATTTGAAAACGCTGGCTTTGTGTTTAAGTGTGGGCAAAAAACATTTGAAAACGGAGCTTTTCGAAAACAACGAGGTCAAGATAAGCATTTTATTTCCCTACCCTAGTTTTCCTCAAACAGAAATCCAAAATGACCGATGATTGCTGCGTTTTTAAATTTCTCCGGCACGGCGTGGATGGGTTTTTATAGTGAAAATCCCGTTTTCAGATTTCTTCGTCTTAGAATGGGCGGCGCCTGAAACATTTCTCGCTTAAAAATATTCTATATTTAATTAATATTTTCATAAGTTCATTTTAATTTTTCGTTAATTGTCAAGCTCTTTATGCATTAGCTTCCGGCTCACACATGAGGGCAACCTCATCATGTGTATTGACCAATAAACTGATTGTATTGATTGTATTTTATTGCAAAGCGTCAAAGAAATTCAAGCCAAACGTAGCTAAAAAGCACGACTCTCAGGTAATAAGATCTATCAATACTGTAGATGCATCTATGAGACACATATATGCGGTGCATTTCATCTTTGACAGAACTCACCTGCTACTGGTGCACCGCTGGCCAAAAACAACGAGCTGATCTGCATCTCCCAACCAATAGCAACAGAGACTTTTTGAGGGCTAACGCATGTGATAAGGAGAACATTGAGTGTTGTGATAAACACACCGTCACAGAACCCGTATATCACAACAAAGACAATCATGTGAACATAAGATGCAGCTATGGTAACAGCCAAAATTGATGCTCCCGCCACTAGCTCAGCCATCTGATAGACGTAAAACGTGTTGACTTTCTTGAAGTCACACAATCGACCAGATGCCAGTCTCCCAAAGCAGGAAGCGAGTCCGTAATAGACGAAGAGCCTGGATGCCGCGTCAGCAGTAATATCGATATCTTCACAGTATCTCACCTGGGAATTAACACACAAATGCTGATCTTTTAATTAACCGTTTGAGGGTGCAATTGTAGAGAGTTTCCTTTTGACGGCTATATCATAAAGAAATTGCAAGGCTCGAAATGAAAATGATAGTAAGCAATGTACTATTACCTACATTAACACGTCATAGAGACGGTGGTTTGCAGATTACAATCAGTTTTTTAGAATGTAATATACTTGCGTTGATCTCTGTAACATCAATTAATTGCCAACCGTACGTCTTTAGAAAGGTATGCGGGTGAAATGTCAATTACGTTAAATTAAAATCTTTGTACTCATGCTTAAACTCAACGCTTACGTTTGCAACATACATGTGCTTTGTATATTTATATGTGTATTTACCAAATGGATTTGTGGTACATAATGTCCAAACATCATGACAGATGCTGATACGACAACAGCCACAAATTTTGGCTCCCTCCAAACTGAAACATCGATATGGCATCCTTTACTCTTCACTTCCACGGACGCATTTTCAGCACCTTCAATCTGTACGTTAGGACTGTAGGTGAGCCCCGACAGACATATAAAGAGAACCACGCCGGCCATTATTCGATAGGTGGTCTGCCAGCCAAGGGTGTCGATCATGGTCTGTAAAATAGGGCCCAGGATAAGGACCCCTCCTCCTTGCCCACATGTAACAATCCCAGTCGCCATTGATCGCCTCTTTTTGAAGTACTTGCTGATGATGTTGAGGCTTGCGGAGAACACACAACTAGTGCCCATGCCATACAGGACACTATAGGTCAGATACAGCATGAGAATGTTTTTCGCCAGGGAGGAGACGCCGAGGCTTAACGCGCACAAGAATCCCCCCAGTAGAGTAGTGACGCGGCAGCCAAACCTGTTGACGAGGAATCCTGAGGCGTGTCCAGAAAAAAAGATAAGCGCGATTGAAAGCGAACCTACCCAAGCTAAAAGAAAACACACAAATGTCACAATCAAAGTTAAAACAAATCAGATAGGCCGGGTAAACACAGGCCACCCGAGCTCACGATGCCAGGAGTTTTGTATATATATCTATAATCCATTAAATATTTTCGCTCGCGCACGACTGGTCTAAACGCGTCATGTGACCGAATATTCCCCAGCTAAAATTGGGAAATATCCGAGGATATTCCCCAATTTTCAAAACTACGCGTGTTGCGAAAAATATTTGAAGAACAATAGACACAATAGCCTCCATTTGACTTTGGACATGATCTGTTCCTCAAAGCTCACAGTTTTCCTCATGCTACGCTCTCAGAACAAAGCTCACAGTTTTCCTCGAGCTACGTTCTCGGAAAACTGTTCGCTTCTCGGAACAGATAATGTCCGCGGACAAATATCCGAGCATATTTTCGCGCCAAATGGAGACTATTGTTTTTATATAATTTTTTTTACTTTTGTGCGAACGTTCAGCGAAACGTGACATATACGTCATATATGTCGGCCGTATATGTCACGTTTCGCTAAACGTTCGCATAAAAGTAAAAAAATTACTCTTCGCATCGTGAACTTGGGCCACCTGTGGGTTAGCCTCCTCCGCCGCCGTTTTTTGGGATGTTTGTAATAGCCCTTTTCACGGTTAATTTTTCTCATTTCCATTACAATGTAATCCAATGTGGATGCGAGGCAATTTGGGACTAAAACTACCCTTAGCTCTTTTCACGGTTACCTTTGCCTATTTGCATTACAATAAAATCTAGCATGTATGTGAGGCAATTTCGGGCTATTTTGTAGTTTTAGCCCCAAATTGTCTCGCATCCTCGTTGGATTACATTGCAATGCAAATGAGAAAAATTAACCGTGAAAAGGGCTGTAGCCCGAAATTGCCTCACATACATGCTAGATTTTATTGTAATGCAAAGGAGCAAGGTTAACCGTGAAAAGGGCTATTGGTAAAAATCCTTTCTTTCTTATAAGATTGCGTGACGAACTTGTGTGACGAACGTAAGGATGTAAGCGCAAAGGAAATTTACAGTTCAGAAGGGTAAGGATAAGGAAAGACAAATATTTAACTCACGGTAAATCAGATAAGTTCATAAAATAAACAACTCAAATAAAGAATAAAACCCAGCTGTTCCTTTGAAATATATCACTGAAGTTAAGTACTTCACCGGTATTTTTGTCAGTGTCGCGAATGGCAATTCAAAGATAAAATCAGCAAAGAAATAGAAGAGCGATTTACAAAGCATCTGATCTGAGATAAAAAAAAACACTTCGATAAGACCTTCGTGTGCCTTTTTTCTTCTTAACAACCCTGATATGATATGTTGACGACATTTACATGTTAAGCTCATCACTTACCTGTTTTCTCTCGGGATTCATTAAAATAATCCATGAATACTGGAAAGAAAACTCCAAAACTGAACACAAATCCCATAGCGGCCAGCCAAGAAAGGGTCGCCGAGAAACAAACGAGCCACGACCATTTGCCATCCTGTGCATGAGCCATGAGAATAACAAAAATACCGTACAAGTATTACGCTTTATAACCTTGCGGGTTAATAAATGTTTCCTTGGTTCCCAAGGCGGATGATCGGGCGCTCCGATGTGAACTTGAAAGTGGTACGACCCAATGCCGAAATAATATGAAGTGGTTTGCAACGCAGCGGCGACCCTGTGCTGCGCCGGTATGTTGCCGTCCGGAAATATCAGAGTTCCGGTTGTCAAAATAACATGATACAGACGACAGAGAAAGCGTGACTATAGGTCTGCAAAACGTACAAAAATGAATCAACCCTACAGCCACCGCGGGCCGTCTGTTGTCGTTCTCAGCCATTAGGCACCTGCGTTCGTAAGATACCTCTGTACCCTAGGAACTTTTTTCAGAACTTTCAGATTAAAAAGCTGTGTTTGATGATGTACTGTAAACTTCCGAAAGTAACGACCCTAGACTCGATCACCAGCCGCTGTTCGGGAAAGGAGCAAGGGTCAGCAAGGGACGCAGAACTGACACGAGAGAGCGGCGGAAATCGAGCGCATACGACCCTCGTTACTTTCGGAATTAGCAGCCTTCAGGGGCTCGTTACTTTCGGGGAGCAAAAAACATTACATAAATTTGGTAGGACTGTGCTCTTTTTCGAAATAAAAGATGCAAATTCGTGAAAACAGTTCTTAATACAGGAGACATAAATCTTCGTTCCAATTTTAAAAATCTATGTTGCTACCTCATGGGTGAACTCGTCATGTCTATACCGAATTGTCATTGGTCAGCAGGAAAGCTAGTCAGATACTGTTAACTGTTTCTACTTCATGACGCACTGCTACGTTAGTCTGCTATAATATTAACTCAGTGCGACGGTCGAGTTTTCAATTCAAATTTGAAGCACTCCTTTTTATACCTTCCTGTTGAAAATGATGTTAATCTGAATCAAAGTTTGCTATAGTACGTTCCTGCTACTTGATGAAAATTCTACGGGTTTTGTTTCGACACGGTGCAACATTAACTGCTGAAGTACGAATTGACACTTCACAACGCTTCGTGGCAAAAGCAATAACCTTCCCTTATTGTAGATTGCCTTACATATAAATCAAGTTACTGGAACTTTCAACTGACTTTTAAAGGGAAAAATGTGTATACTACTGAGCCTGGGCATCACTTTTTTCTGGGAGGGGGTGGGGGTGGCTTGCTACTTTCGTGGATATTAACGGCCATAACTTTTTGACGTTACTTTCTGGGAGTAGCTATCTTTTGGGGGTCGTTAAGTTACTTTCGGAAGGTTACGGTAACTCATCTATGTTCGGTCGAGGCCAAGCTCCAGTTAGGTCGCAACTTAACTCTG